TTGATCGGCTATCATTGAGGCGTTTTCGGAGGAGTACTATGAGCGAGATCTAGGCAAGGTTTTGCAAAGTTTCGGCTTTCAAAACAAATGCGATCTTGAAAGAAATTTTGCGCGAAATAGAATGGAGGTTCCACTTCCAGAGGAGAATAGATCCAGTTTCCGAGAATATGACCACCTCCTTAGTTCACCTAGTATGCCCAGAGTATCTACAAAAAAACGAAATGCTAATATCCAAAGTTGCGAAAAAATTTTTTTTGCAGAGATTTGACGAAGCCCTACTTGATTCACTAATAAACAATCAATCAATCAGTCAATCAATCAATCAATCAATCAATCAATCAATCAATCAATCAATCAATCAGTCGATCAAGCAAGCTCCTTGATTGGGCGGATCCTCTGATTGAGAGGTCCGCTCCGATACCAAACTGTTGCATACCGTAAAGGTGCAGACTAGAACAAGAACCGACCTCTGTCACATAGTACAGGATAGCGCAGCCGAAGGCTATAATACCAATGATCCGACCAATCAATGTCTCAATGCAGAGCCAACATACATCGTCATCATCGCGAGGTGTGAAGGGGCTGGCGCTGTACACAGGAAGAGTGCGCCAGGCTCCAAGCATACACAGATGAAGAGGAGGGGGATTAGACGAAGATGGGGGAGGAGATGGGAATGTCGTCACAAAAGTGTCGTTGGTATCAATTCCAAATAGTCCCTTGTCAATGTCTCTGTCCCAAAGTCGAGTCGAACAAGAACCAACCTCTGTCACATAGTACAGGATAGCGCAACCGAAGGCTAAAATACCAATGATCCGACCAATCAATGTCTCAATGCAGAGCCAACATACATCGTCATCATCGCGAGGTGTGAAGGGGCCTGGCGCTGTACACAGGAAGAGTGCGCCAGGCTCCAAGCATACACAGATGAAGAGGAGGGGGATTAGACAAAGATGGGGGAGGAGATGGGAATGTCGTCACAAAAGTGTCGTTGGTATCAATCCCAAATAGTCCCTTGTCAATGTCTCTGTCCCAAAGTCGAGTCTGTATCCAAATGTCGTCAACATCCCAAAGTCACAAATCTCTCTCTCTCTCTCTCCCTCTCTCTCTCTCTTGTGCACGTGCGCGCGCGCGCGTAGTCTGTCGATACCGAGAAGTCAGGTAGAGAGAGGGTGAGGGAGAGATGGTGGACTTAGAAGAGGAAGAAGAAGAACTCTCTCTCTCTCTCAGCCCGGTACTAACCTGTGAAGGTGGCGCCTTGTTGCAGGTACATCGAAGACGAAGCTGGAGCTATGGTGCCACAGGTAAGCTCCCAGGTAGTCTCCCTGGCCTCCGCCACTCTCCTCTCTCCCAACGCTACTGTAAGATCCTAACAGCGCCCAGCGCTGAAGACAACTCCTATCGCTAGGTACTACTACTGCAGCGCTCCCTCAGAGTGCTGCTGCCGAATCCTGAAGACTGCCTCCTCAACTGCCTCTTGCCTGCAGCCTGCAGGGCGGACCAGTACTATATAGTGCTGGTCCAGCTGGGAGGCTGCTCTTGCCAATGCCGAATCGTGCCAGACCCTGGCGCTGAAGTTCAAAAAAAGGTTGTCTTGAAACGGGCCTAAACGTGGCCTGGGCTTATCCCTGGTCCGGCGCCTAAGTTTCAGGAAAGGTCGACTTATGAGGGCCTGAAAATGGCCCTCCTTTTTCGGCTTTTAGGCTGAAACGACACAGGGCCTGGAGGGCCCTTATTCCGCCTGGTCAGGCCCTGCAGGCCCGTGTGGTGCACAGTATGCCACACTCCTCCACCAGGGACTCTCATGGAAGACACAATGTGCCAATACAAAAAAGAGAGGCTGGAGTTGTATGGAAATCAAGGTATATTGGTGAAATTCACTCAGGTAAGCCCATACCAACACCACAACAAGACTTTTGTATTTTTTGATATAACAATAATAACATCCATTCTCAGATTCCCGTACACAGGCCGGGACACAGTTCAACAGGGTCTGGTCGATGTTGCTTTTACAGTATACATACTAAACACACCAACATTATCGCAGAGAAAGAGGGAGAGGCTGGAAAGAGGACTCTAAGCATTTCAGAGTGATGTGGTTCTTTTTTCCTTTTTTTATGTGTTTCTTACCTTTGCCTCAATATATCAAACAGCTGATGATAGCCTCTGTCCAAAGACTGGGGCACATAGTGTGGATCATGTGCAAGCAGGGCAGCTTCGTAGTCCTTGAAGTGCATGTACTTTACATCCGCAACTTCCGATTTCTGTATGATGTGAAACAGCCCAAAGATCACATTGTGCAGTTATGAGATCAACGCCCATTTCGAGTTCGAGGGCAGACAAATGAAAAAGAAAACGGCAAGGAAAATGAGTGATAGTGAATTCCAGAAACCAAGCAGCATCATACACATGAAACCAGATAGTCGTGACCTCGAACCAAAAGCAGACTATGAATAGTCTCATCATCATCAACAATGAACCAGTGTTGATTCCCTATCTGGCGCTCAGCGCCCAGACTATGAATGGCAGATCCTATCTAGCCTATCTACAATGCTGCTGGTGACGTCAAGAGCTTCCCAAAGTACGAGCAGATCTCGGCCAATGCTGTTCGCCTCGAGCACCAGGTATGTCTCACACTTCACTCACAACCTCGATCCCCCACACAGATGCCACGTGCACCCAAGGACCACCATGCGCCCCATCCAGCATCTCGCAGGCCAGCTCAGCTATGGCTGCCTGCGTGTGCCCTGCTCGCCCATGAGCGCGTGGGCGGTTGCCTGCTGATAACGCAGCAGCGCTTGTGCAGTATGTAGCAAGTGCCCGAATGTCGAGCCCGCAGCCAGGCCCTCTCCTATATGGAATGCGGCTGCCAGTCGTGGCGGCCTGGCTGGCCTGGGCCTCCCCACGGAAACTTCGGGCAGGCCCCAAGTGGCTGAGCCCGTCCCGAGGAGTCTTCCACAGGGCCTGGGGAGGTTACCCGTGTCCAACTGCCAGCGGCCTGTGTTCAGTTCATTCCACGTGCCTGGCCCAGGGCCTACCTCGATACATTTGAAAAAAGGCAGGCAGACCCTGGGCTCACTCAACCAACTGGCGCTACGCAACTGCCTGAATTTCCCAGCTGAGTCCAAACCCAAAATAGGCCTCCCGTCACTTGTCAGGCCCACCTTCACTTAGGGCAGCCGTTCTGGCTGAAACAGGGCCCAGTAGGGCTTACCGAGGCCTTGAGCCTCGCATTCCCTCCTCCATACTTCGACAGTAGAAGTTCGCTCAATCTGGCGCTTTCCTTTCTGCAGCAACTTCTCACAGTGAGCGACAACCTGTGGAGCGGTCTGCATCAGTTCCTCCCGTGTAAACCATCTGTCCTCCTTTGGATCAGTGTGATGTCTGAACCGATCACGATATTGCAGCTTCGGCTTCGGAGGACGGCCCCTGCCTGTTGGTCTTGGAACCGGCATTTCTCTGTGATCCACGATGTCGTCGATGTTGACCTCTCCATCCATGGTTGGGGACAGCATTGACTGACGAGATGGAAATTGATCAGTTTCCTTGAAGGGTGCACGTTGGAGGCGTGGAAGACAGGGTAAATGAGAAGGCGCCCAGTGATTCGAATAACGTAGGATGGTCCGCCAGGGTCTTCCCCAACGATATCAAGTACCTCCCACGGTCCAAAATACTGTGGCATGAGCTTGCGGGAAATCCCATGCTCCTGTCCCAGTTCAGAAGCTTTGACCCAGACTCTGTCCCCTACCTGAAATGTAGATGGGCGGCGATGTCGGTTTTCTGATTCAATCATCACCGCTTGTGCTTTGTGCATTTGTTCTCTAGCTTGCTGCATCAGGCGTTCGTATCAATAGGCAAATTCTAAAGTGCCTGGGGCAGCAGCCGGCTGACTCTCGGGTAGTAGGAGGTTTAGGGGCAGTCTAGGCTTGAATGTCAGGAGTAGCTCATTTGGACTAACTCCCGTGGCGCTGGGGACTGCATTGTTATACAGGCTGGCGACGAGAGCGAGCTTTTCAGCCTAGTCTACCTGATTGGGCTTAATAAAATGCCTCGATAGATGTTGCACAACGCGGTTCATTTGCTCGGCCTGACCGTTTGCTTCTGGGTGGTTACTGGAGGTCATTTGCAGTTGTGTCCCTTGCTCAGCAGCTGCAGATTTCCATAATTCACTAGTGAAACGCACATCCCTCTCACTGACAATAGACTTTGGTAGGCCAAAATCTCTTACCCAGTTCTCCTTGAACAGTCTGATAACATACTCGGTCTGTGCTATTTCCGGCATGGCCACTAACCTAGCGTACTTGCTAAACCTATCCACAATAACGAAGATGTGTCGCATGCCACTCTTGCTGGTAATTAGCGTATCCACGAGATCCATGGACAAGCTTTCACCTGGCCTCTCCGAAACCGAAAAGGGCTTGAGCAGCCCAAGAGGTGGCTGTGTGCGAGGCTTGTCACGTTGACAAACTTGACAGGTCTCGACATACAGTTTGGCATCCTTCAGCATCGTGGCCCACAAAAAACACTACCGTAGATTAGCTGCAGTTTTCTTATACCCAAAATGTCCAGTGGCGTCGTGGCTTTCTCCTAAAAACAAACTACGCAAAGACTCTCTACTTGGCACTTACAAACGTTCATTCCCGACCTTCTCAAGGAACAGCAAGCCATCGACCAACACAAACTCATCATAAGTCACTTTGTCCTTCGCCTCGAGTCTGCATATGATCTTTGCCATGAACTGATCCTCGAGGTAGGCTTCCACCAAGGACTGAGTAACATTGTCCGCAAGCCCAAACTCAATGATCAGTGCACCAAGGAAGTCTGGTCTACGCAACAGCGCATCAACAACCTTGTTGTACTCCCCTTTGATGTCCTGAGGTTCAAAGTCATACTGTTCTACGACTTCAGTCCAGCGTTTCAAGGCGTTGGAGAGTACAGGTTGTGTTCTCATCCACCTCAGGGCTTGATGATCAGTCCTGACGTAGAAGAATCTCCCAAGGAGATAGTGCCTCCACTGGGTCAGCGCTTTATACATCGCATTGAGTTCCTTCTCATAGGTGGACTTAGCCAACTTTTGAGAAGGCATTTTTTTCGACATGTACTGTACGGGCCTCAACACAAACTCATCATAAGTCACTTTGTCCTTCGCCTCGAGTTTGCGTATGATCTTTGCCATGAACTGATCCTCGAGGTAGGCTTCCACCAAGGACTGAGTAACATTGTCTGCAAGCCCAAACTCAGTGATCAGTGCACCAAGGAAGTCTGGTCTACGCGACAACGTATCAACAACATTGTTGTACTCCCCTTTGATGTCCTGAGGTTCAAAGTCATATTGTTCTACGACTTCAATCAAGCGTTTCAAGGCGTTGGAGAGTACAGGCTGTGTTCTCATCCACCTTAGGGTCTGATGATTAGTCCTGACGTAGAAAAATCTCCCAAGGAGATAGTGCCTTCAATGGGTCAGCGCTTTATACATCGCATTGAGTTCCTTCTCATAGGTGGACTTAGCCAACTTTTGAGAAGGCATCTTTTTGGACATGTACTCTACGGGCCTCAACTTTTTCTCCTCCTGCTGCGCAAGCAAGGCACCAATGCCATATTGGCTGGCATCCGTGGTCACAACAAAAGCTTTCTACGCATCAGGAAGTTTCAAGACCTCCTGGTGTGCCAGGGCATGCTTCAGATGTCTGAAAGCAGCCTCACACTTGTCTGTCCACTCCCACAGGGTATCAAGGCGTGTGAGGTTCGTCAAAGGTGCGGCCACTATGCTATAGTTCTTCACAAAATTGCGGCAGTAGCTGGTCATCCCCAAGAAGGACCTCATCTCAGTCACAGATTGAGGACGCGGCCAGTCATGAATGTTGGCCACCTTCACGTCATCGTGCGTCAATCCCTACGCGGAAATCTAATGACCCAGGTACAAAATCTGGGTGTGGCCAAACTCGCACTCCTCCCGATTGATCTTGAACTAGTGCTGCCGAAGGAGACCAAGAAATTTGTCTAAATAGGCTACATGATCCTCAACAATCCTACTAAAGAGAAGTATGTCATCAAGGTACACGATGACAAACTTGTCCAAGTAGTCATGAGAAATCTGGTTCATAGCGTGCCGAAAGGCGCCAGGAGCATTACAAAGGCCGAAAGGCATCACCACAAACTCGTACAAGCCGCACCTGGTCTGAAAAGCGGTTTTGTGTTGATCCTCGGGCCGGATTGCAATTTGATGGTACCCGGACTTCAGATCTTACTACCGACACCCTTGCACTCGGTCCAATAAGTCATTGATGCGGGGTAGGGGCTCTGTGTTCTTCACAGCAATGACATTGAGATCCCTATAGTCCATGCACATCCTTAATGTTCCCCCCTTCGTTGGTACAAATAGGATAAGAGACCCGTAAGGGGAAACACTCGGTCGGATCCAACCCTTCTCTATGAGATCCTTGAGTTGTCGGCGAAGCTCATCAAGCTCTGCTGGAGATATCTGATAGATCTTACCCTTCAGAATACTAGACCCTGGGATAATCTCTATCGCGTGGATGACCTCCCTCTCAACAACCCCTTTTGGCTCTTCAAATAGATCAGGGTACCTAACGACAACTCTCTCTATCTTTGGAGGCATTTTCACCGGCTCGCCCTCTGCAGAGACATATACTAAGTACATGCCCTCCTTCAAATCTTGCTTATAATAATTATAGAATGAGGTCGCACACATGCATCTGTAGGACTCGATCGGACTACTAGCTTTATACTTAGGTAATTTGGTTGTCCCCCCTTCGGGCAAAGTGTGTTTGACCACTTTACGGTCCCAGTCAAACTCAGGTTGTGCAACCGAAAGATAGTACATACCCAGCAAGATTATCCATAGGGAGATCATCACTGACTAGGAATGGGACTTTATGTCTCAGTTCCCTTCCCGCGTACGGGAAAGAACACTCAATGTCTTTTAGGTAGCTGCCTACCGGGGTCCTTAATGAACTAACCTAGGTTAGGTGCAGGCTAATGATCCAGGCAAAACGACAAACTTCGTTTTTTATTTGATTGATATGACAAGTAACGACGGTCATATTGGATTAGGTAGATGAAAAGACATATACATTAGAACAACACGTGTATCATGACGCCGATGCTTATATATACAGTTGAGTTACCAGATTGTGAATGCGTTGAAAGTTTGTTCGTGCTTTTGGGCGAATGGCAAGACCGGTGTAGGGCCCTATCCTGTTAGACTTTCGAACCTGAGTCGACCCACTGCGGGTCCCAGTTT